GCGAGAGTTCGGAAGGGAAGCTGCGGAAAAGCCTCCCAGTAAAAATGGAACGATGGTGCGTCTGCTCGCGTTTCTGGTGAGAGTATATATCTTCAGAGTTGACAAAGCATCGTTTTGTGATAGAAATTCAACAAGATCAAATTTAAGGAATGTACTTTGAAGACGGTAGTTGTACCTTCCTCGGATAGTACCAGGAAAAAAATGCTTTATGCACAAGTACATACTCAGATAAAATACAGTGCACCTCAAACTTAACGCTGTCACAGCATTTGACGTTTCTGACAGTCCCTGCGGCGGCCGATTCAATTATCTGAAGAATGTTCGGGGTCCCCATTTCGATCCCATCCTGAGAAGGCATCCCAAACGTGTTGGTGTCAAATTCAACAGTAAGTAGCCGCGAGCTCAATGTTTGGGAACTCAGTGGCGGCGTTAAGTTTGGGGAGCACTGTACTTCAAGTAAAGTACTAGTTTTCTTAAACCTACTTGAATTACTTTAGGTACAATGTACTTAAAGTATTTTCCAACGCTGAAGTAGTGTCAAATACACCAGTGCACGAGGCCCGTGTCTCGAGCGGCTTTTTGAAGCAAATGGAGGCGCAGCACTGAAATGAGCGGCCTTTGGAAGCGAATGGCGGTGGAGTACCCGCTCATGGCACGTGTCTTGCACGTTCCCACAACCATGGTTGGCGGCACTTGTAGGCTTGAATTTTATCAAGGCACTTCAGTTCACCGATGTCTGGGATCAAACACGGCCTTGAACAAAGGATGCAGCCTGTTTGCGTTTGTTGTTGACCGGGAATGCACAAGGAAGTGAAAACCGACTTGTCTGTGCATCTCGAGGGCACACCTCGTAATGACCGTGAAATCGCCACGAGGGCGTCGTTACGGCACAGCGCTTCCTTCCGTCTAATCTACTTCCACATCTGTTGAAAGGTGACCGGACGTGAGGCCGCTTGTAATGCCCTGGACAAAGACGTGACTCTAGAACAGGTCCTCGACCTTGGTTTATAATAAGGATGCTGGAGAAACTCGTACATATATGCTGTATATGGCCATATCAAGAACTGGGCAAATGAGGCCATATGTGGCCATATACTATATAATATGGGTATTTATGGCCTTGCTTGCCCGATTCTTGTAATGGCCGTATATGGCATTTCTCTATGGGAAGGGAAACGAGAATCCAAAGAAGAGCTCAAGAGATTGCGCAATATTACGACAGATGAGATAACAAGTACAAGATACTAAAAACAAAATGTAAATTAAAATAGAGTAGCAAATACTTTCGATGAAATGTATTTACAAGTTACTAAATTTATACCAAAAGTATTTTATATACAGTATCTTGAGTGGAATATTTGTGATAGGCATAAGTATAGTAAAAGCTACTGTAGTTCAGATCTTTTTTTTTTTGCCTATTCGTTTCTATCCTATGCAGGCAAGCCGGTTTTCTTACTTCTTTGCGTCTACAATAAAATTAGTTGCATAAGTTCTCTTTTATGTTGCACGTTTTGCAGGATTGCCAATAAATATTTCAGTTACAATATGAGCCCGTTAGGGGTAGCAGCAACTGATTAGATTGTTTAAGAATCTGTGCGTTTGGTGGCAAGCACGCGATAAAAGATTCTCAATGCTATCTCTGAAACTCTTGCGGAATCAAATGAACATCGAATACAAGCGTGTGAACTTACTTCAGATGAAATATTTCCAGTGGCGTCGAGAAAAGGGGGAGGGGGGGGGCTCTTTTTTACATATATCTCTCGAACACTTTCCACGTCCCTGACCCTTTCAAGAAGATTTTCAATAATCAAATTTTATTCAGACATCCTTGAATTTTTCAGTACGTGTAATCCACACAAGGATTTCAGCCTACATTTTCAATTTCGTAGATACATGCAACTAGACCGAGGATATGTGCGTTGCATTGTTTGCGGCCAATACAATTTACTGTATTCATTCGTTTTAAAAAGAAAACTACATAAAATACAATAATGAGAAGCATCGCATTGATAAAGAAAAAAAAAAGGGGGGGGGGGGAGGAAACAGAGAAGTGGATTGCACAAGTGAGCAGATGGCAAGAAATGGCTCCATGCCAAGAATTGCGAAAGGAGGTGATAATAAGGATAAAAGTATCCTGGGAGCAGCCGCAGCAGCCCGGGGGTATAGCTCAGTGGTAGAGCATTCGACTGCAGATCGAGAGGTCCCCGGTTCAAACCCGGGTGCCCCCTTCTTTTGTAACCGTTCTATAGACCTTTTCCACAAGGGCGCCGCCATCTTGAATTGACGTCACTTCCAGTATGGGCGAAAACGTAACTTTGCCGTTGCCACGCCAATAGAAGACATTTAGAATATAAGCCTAACCGCCACACATTCTCGTTTTGGCTCGCCTCTATTTTTTTACTAGTTACAGGTTGAAACGTTTTACTTTTTTTTCGCCGCCCATACTGGAAGTGACGAAAATTCAAGATGGCGGCGCCCTTGTGGAAAAGGTCTATATGCCCTCCAAGAAGCCTTGTACGAACTGCAAATTTGTTTAGAAATCCTCTATAGCGAAACATATTTAGAGTCGACATGCGCAAATTTCGTCGTAATTTTCTATGGGTTGGTGTGGTAACCTTCATTGTGCTGCTGTTAAATGTACTTTTTAACTAAAGTCTAAATTTAATCTAACTTTATTTGTATATTTGTATGCTCAATAGCGTGAGCGCTGTGACTATGGGCAACCGTTTGAAATAATAATAATAATAACCCAAGATTCGTACATGGTTTCAATTATTAGATTTTCACTGTGTTTTTTACTGTTATTTTATTTCTTCGCACTGCCGCACTTCCCAAATTACGGAATGTGTTCTGTTTAATATAACGGGAACCGAAATAAAACAAAATCAATCAATAGTTTCTAGAAATGCAACTTCGACGTGGAAGATAGCAAACAAAAACATAATTTGCAAAAAAAAAAAATTTAGTCGCAGTTTTTTAACTATTGCTCCACTTTGTTGGGTGAGAGCTGCGAATACTTTGCGAATACAATCCCAATCCCGGCTCGTAATTTTGAAATCGTAAATAAAATCCTAAACGAATCTTATAATACTTCCTTTGTCAGTATTATATATCCACCGATTTTTAGTCTCCATTTTTTTCTCGCCATTTAGCAAATCCTGGCCAATCTAACAGTACAAGAGTATTTCTTCTAATTCCGTGCAACTTAACTGCAATCGCATTTTTATCCTCGGCATTACATTATATATATAAAAAAAGAAATGCAAGCGACCTTTATTTGTAAAGTTCTAAAATGCATCAAATGCATTATAAGGAATTGGGGACAGAATTTATATGTCACGGGATGTATATTTTCTCGCTCAATTTAGCGGAGAAACTGGATTGGTGCCTGGGTCACAACAGGTAAATTTTCCCGCTACATTTAGCGGGTAACTGAATTGGTATATAGGCCACGTGACGTTGATTTCCCGCTAAATTTAGCGGGGCAATTGACTTGATGTTTTGGCCACAAGACGGCAATTTTTTTCGCTAAATTTTGCGGGGAAGTTACGTTGACCGGGCTGTCAATCTTCCTAAGGTGTATAGACCTTTTCCGCTTACTCTCGCCCCCAACTCCCAAGTAGGCATATCCGGTATGGGCGACGAAAAAATATTAAAACGTTTCAACCTGCAAATAGTAAAAAAAAAAAAAAAAAAAAATAGAGGGGAGAGAAAACGAGAATGGGTGACGGTTACGCTTTTCTCCTTAATGCATTATATTGGCATGGCAACGGCAAAGCAATGTTTTCACCCATACTGGAAGTGACGACAATTCAAGATGGCGGCGCCCTTGAAGAAAGGGTCTATAGGTCATGTGACGCCACGTGACGCCACTGTGTTCAACGCTAAATATAGTGGAGCGTGGTAAAGGAGAGAGGTCAAATCATACGTGTCAGATGCCAAGACATTTGTTTCATTGATTCACTCACGGCATAAGAAACGCAAATCATGGCTCAATATGTTAACTTTTTTTTTTGTGGTTTGTTTCTTTGCTTCGTTATTAGTTCTTCGGGGCTTCATTGTCTAAGGTCGCTAGCGCGATATTAATTGGCTGGGGAGGGATGTAATGAGCGGATCGGGAGCTTCCACGCCCGGCGTTAGGAACTCTCGAACGATACCTTCCGCTGAATCCTACGCGCAGTGATTTTGCCCAGATGTCACGTTCTAAACTCAATGATTTTAGACTATCGCAGCTTATTCAGAAGTGGACTTTCTGCGACGAACTGTTCAACTTTTTCAGTCGTCCCGTGGGTATTATTTTGTTTATACTCTTTTAATGTACAATTGCTGAACTACAATGGCGTGAAAAGGACTTGTCAAGCAAACATTTTTTTTTTTCTGCCACATTGCCGGCCTTGATTTGTAGAATCAAACAAAGCAAATTGAAGACAAATTGAATATTTTCTTCTCAAAATTATTTTATCAAATGAGAGAAAAACAAAACCACGTCAGCATAATCAAACGTTAGAATAACATTTATATTTATCATTACTATTAGCAGCAGTGCTTGAAGGAGGCACCCGGGCTTTAACCAGGGACCTCTGGATCTGCGGTCGAATGCCTTAACACCACCTTGCACGGAGATAAACTGAAGGAGAGGAGGATAGAAAAGCCCGCGGAAATGTCAGAGCTCCGAACTCCGAGTGGAAGGATATCTCTACCCACTGTTGAAAGAACGAACGCCGGCGTCCGACCTTCGAACGCGAGACACTGCGTGGAGCAGACGACCTTCTCGTTCGCTCTGATTGGAGGGAGACAGTGGATAGAGGTAGCAGGCTTTGCGTCTACCCCCTAATCCTTCCAATCGGAGCTCCCCGCTCCGATGTTCTCTCGTTCGCCGCTACGGGGGCGCTGCTGTCGGCACAGCACATGCGCTGAGCTCTCACCCACGCGAATCCGGTTTCTGCGCAAGAGCAATGTCCGCACCTGGTGTGAGCAGGCGTTGACTTTTTTGTAAACAGAATGTGGGTGTATATATATACTTGTACCTCATCCCGGTTTCAGGTTGCGACAGCGGTTTCGGCCAGGAGTTGGCTTTCCGCTTGGACCGTCGGGGGTTCCAGGTGTTCGCGGGCTGTCTCTTCCCGGAAGGCGAAGGAGCCCGGAAGCTGCGCGAGAACGGCTCCGCGAACGTCGTCGTCCTGCCCCTGGACGTCACCAAGGACGACCAGATAGAGCGAGCGGTGGCCGACGTCAAGGGGAAACTGCAGGGCAGGGGTCAGTGACTCCGCGCGCATTCCAGTTGTTGCGAACTTTTTTGGCGAACTTGATATGGTTCGACTGGTTCGGGGAACCTTCGAACTTTTGACCAGTGTTGCCCGATCTCCGCTCAGAAATCTCAAATTTTGAAGGAAAAGAAAACAATTAATATTGTAATTTATTTTTAATTCTAGAAACCGATTTCTAACACCTGCTCAATACGAAAGCAATGATACTCTTTTTGAGTTAGTGTGTTATCCTCCTTCACCAGGTGGCTTGAGCTTGTTCTCGACTGCAGTACACGCGCATGGTAATCGAACTTTTGGTCGACATTCTGTCCAACTTCGCGTTTAAAAGTTCCAAGGAGTCGAAACTCAAACCTCGGTAGGGTCGCGAAGTTCCTAGTATGCATACGTGGATTGCGCGCGACGTCGTTGTACCTTGCTGATGGACATTCCCGTCTCTTATTAATTGGGAAAACAACATTCTGTCGTGCGAAATGTGTGTTGCAAAGGCTACGCGCTCAGCAGCAGGTCCCAGCAATTGTCCGTGATGTGGCGTACCCGCATTTCCATGTATGTGGTTTCAAGAATTTTTTTCTTCGTTTTCAGGATGTTTGAGGGTTGTTCGCTGAAGGTATGGCGGACCCCCCCCCCCCCCCCCATAACAGACGTAAAATACTAAAACAAACGAAGAACAACGAAGCAGAACAACGTTTAACCCGCAGAAAATACCCTTACATCACGATTAATTTACGAAAACACCAAAATAACACTTTTATTCTGAAAATATCAACATGTGCAATAATATCACTAGACTTTATACTTTTAGTTAACTGGGTGGTTTCATTTGAACTCAGGCTTTGGGATACATCTGTATTTTTTGTATGTTTCTTATGATTTGTATGTGTTGTGACGAGCGACAACGCTTCTGATTTCAGAGTTCAAACATCCTTTTTTTTTTTAGAAAAATAAAATTCCAAATGAGCGTGGAAAGACGGTGACAAGCTCTTAATACGTTTTTATGACAATCTATGTATAATCTAACAAAAATAAAATTTACAATGACGTTTAGTATTTGCAACCTAATTTTCTTTTTTTAGAAGTTTCCAAACATGCCTTTGCAAACAAATTTGCCCAAAATGTTCCTTTTTTTTCGCGAGTAGAGTTTTTGGGGTACGTGCAATGTACAAGTACATTTCCGCGTAAACGTGCAGTTGATATACTTTTTAATAAATTTACACTTTTTTTTTCGCTACGAAATGTTTTGTAGCGTCACGGGCTCGCGCGATCTCTACAGCCGACCTCCAACCTATGTCTGTTTACCGTTGCAGACCTGTGGGCCGTGGTTGCCAACGCTGGCATCATCTACGCGGCCGAACTCGAGTGGGGCAAGATGGAGCCCCTGTGCAAGATGTTCGACGTGAACGTGTTCGGCGTCGTGCGCTCCGTCAGGGCCTTCCTGCCGCTCGTCAGGAAGGCGAGGGGCAGGGTCATCGTTAGCACCAGCCTATGGAGTGAGTCGATACGGGGAGCAGGTTCGTCTGCTTCATTTTGCTGGGGTTGTTGTGACGTCAGAACGCCAAGCTCCGATTGGCTCTGATTGGAAGGATAGTGGATAGACCTGAAGGGAGTTTGCTTTGAGGTCTACCCACTGTCCTTCATTCAGGACCAATCAGAGCTCAGCATCTTTCTGACGTCACCACAACCATAGCAAAAGAAGCAGACGAACTTGCGTTTCACGTAGGCCTGTTTCTTTCGGCCAAGGGGCGCTGTAACAATAACGTTGCCAAAAGCTTTTTTTTTTTTTTTTGAGTGGGTTTGATGTGGTTGAAATGTCCATGACACGGGGAAAGGGGGGTCAAGATCAGTGTTGCGGAGTTGCCACTCCAGAGTTGGGAATGATTCCAGAATCATTCCGCATTTTCGCGACCCCGGAATGGAATGGGAATGGAATGGCGACAACGTTAATGGGAGTGGAATGGGAATGGAATTAGATGCCTTTGGCCCGGAATGAAATGGGAATGGAATGGGCACGGTTCTTAATATATATATATATATTACGTTCAGCTATACCGAACCAGTCAGGGAGTCGGTTGTTCAGAAATAAAATGAGCTGGAAGCTGCGAACCCGCGTAAGACCCTAACAGACTTATATGCAAAAAAAAAAAAAAAATGCAATACAAAAAACAAGCGTGAAAGCAAAGAAAAGAGGGGTGGGGGGGGGGGGGGGGGAGGGCGGCGGTGGCGCCTTTCACCAGTGAAGTTCAACACATATCCGAACGCGTCTGCTGCTGCAATATTGCGCGGCTCAAGGGTACGTCATCAGCCGACGTGAATGCGACCCGTTGCTCTGTTGATCCGATACCCAGGAAGGAAGCCGGACGTGGCCTCGCTGTGCGGACCCAGACTTCGTACACCTGCGACTCGTCTCGAGCGCACTGTTCCTCGGAGAGCTCGCCCCTGTGCCGGCCATCTCAGGTCGCAATCCACGAGGTCTCTGTTTGGATTATGCTAGACGAAACTTAAAGACTGCCATTCATGCGTTGGAGGCGAAGAGTCGGCAGGAAGAACCGTCACAACAGGGATGCCACCGTATCGATTTTCCAACCGTAACAGAAGATAAGACATGTGCTTGAGGATGCTTCAGGTGGTCCACTTTTCTCGAAAATTCCAAATGCAACTGCCTGCATGATCTTCAACGAGGTCACTTACAACGAAAGTACGTATTGTCCTTTCATACAGCAGCGTGGGTATAGTTTCATGTTCAAGACAACACCTACGGATTCAAGAATACTAGTTCATCCCACCGTGACGTCATGTGATTAGTCCTGACAGGGCCGCCCTTATTGGACAGGGAAGTGTTGGTGTTTTGATGGAATTTATTTAGAGGTCGAAGTCTTTTCGCATCACTGGTCAGCCAGACAGGATGCCAGGGAAGGGACCGCGGTTAATCCTTGATGGAACGTTTTTTAAACTCAGTGACTTGAGGACTCTTCGTCCGGAACCACTACCTTCAAGGCGAAGTGCCAAGCCTCCAAGAGAGTGATTTCGGGACCAAAAAAAGAAACAACAAAAAAACTTCCACTTCAAGCTTAAAGCTTCATCTCAGTTGGCGTCTCAAAGAAATCTGAAAAATGTATTCAATTATCAGTATTTATATTTCTGCCCTCCCAAAAATGTATTCTTGTATTTGTATTTCCAAAGACTTTTTGCCTCTTTTAAAAATGTATTTTCGATACGTATCGCGATACATTTTTACAGATATATTTGAGACTCGAGTATCAGTATCTTAGCAACTATTTTCATCTATTCCAGTATTTGTATTTCCAAATACATTTTTGAATATTTCTGCCCAACCCTGCAACGTGATGCAGCTGTCAAGTGACACTTTTAACGTTGAGGAATTAGAGGAATGGAATGGAACGACTCAGCCATTCCAGGAGTGGGAATGGGCCCAGTGTCCCCATTCCTAGGAGTTGAAAAGAATGGAATTATCGAAAACTCTAATTCCCCGGAATGGAATTGGAATGGAATGGGGGTGCCCATTCCGCAACACTGGTCAAAATGCATTTTGGGAAGGGGGAGGGGGGGGGGGGGGGGAGGCTGAAGCCCCATAAGCCCCTCCCTTGGCTACACCATTGCACTGTATCGTCCACCAGGTGCGACCATTTAATGCTCATGTGAAGCGGCTCTCAAGCTTCCCATTATGCCGGATCAACGGGCGTGAACTAGCGTCTGTCAGTGTCCCTCGCCGTCCATCCACGGGCAATATAAAAAAAAAAAAATAAGAAAATAAAGCGTTTCAAAGTATCCCATTTTGCTTCCTAGGGGGCTGCTCAAAACTTGTGAGCTACAGGTCTATACCCAACACGTTCTCGAGCGCTATTTTTGCCGTACAACGGAATGGTGTAAATAAGCAGATAAACGGAGTGCCGTGAAACGTTTCACAAAGATGTCTTCATGTGGTGCAGTTATCATACTCAATTTTCGTCAATGCAAATTTAAAAAAAAAATAATTTAAAAAATAATGAAATAAAAGCTATGTGTAATAACAGAAGAAGAGAAAAAGAAAACAGACCGTCGGGTTGACGTTGCTAAATCCGAAACGGTGTACAATCTCAATCCATCTGAAGGGCCTATTCGACTGACGGCTCAATTTGGCTGGAATCTTTAATATGTCTAGAGCGCTCCAGTTCGGCTGGAATCTGCTGGATCTGCTTAATTAGTCTTTATATCTATGAAGATTTCAAGATTTTGTACTATACGGTGCCAGATGTAAGTAGCAGCACAAACCTGACTGTTTCGTTTTGTTGTCCTACCGCCCATAGCAAAAAAAAAAAAAAAAAAAAAAAAAACGAAAGCGTTTTTAGCATTTTTTTAGAAACATACACTCACAAAATTGAAGTGAAATAAATTTACCACATAAAGACACATTTGTGAAAAGAGTAATGGCACTCAGTTCATTAACATATATTATTCAATTTTATTTTTTTACGGTCGAGTTTTTATACGTTCGGGAGAATTCTGCATAAATAGCAAAGTGGAAATAATTAAAAACATTCAGACGAATGAACCGTACTTCATCGAATGAAACGAAGTCTACGCAGGTTAGACACGACTGCCGAGCCAGCGTTCGTCAGGGACTCGTGTTCTCAATGATTGGACCCGAGTCTGAGCCGAATGATGACGCAACACTCGTGAGTCGTGTCCCATCTATGGCCCGCCTCCGATAAGTGATATAAAGCCAATCAGCCCGATGGCCTTTTTATCTAGGAAGCGTCAAACAAAGCCGCATGTCACCCATGGCGACGGCAACATGCATGCAGCGCATACGAGTAAACAAAATGTTTTCGCGATTTTTGATATTAAAATTTAAAATTATTAAAAGGACGCTGCTTTCTCGAATCGGCGTGAAAAAATGCCAAGGGCGTTAAACTCTCGCACTGGCGCATCGTTCTGCAAACCTGCGCTTTGGCGCATATCGCTTCCTTCTGCGTCATGCCATTGGCGGCGGCCGTCTCCGTGTCCAAAGAAGCGTCGCGGTCAGGCTTGGAGGGTTGTACATATCTTCTGGGTGATAAAAGCGTATTCCCGTTGCAGACTTCTCTAATCGTAAGGTATTTGGACCCTCCAATGCCTAGTGGCAGCGCTCGTCGTCTAGGAAAATGTATGACTGTAAATGTTCCTTTTTTTTTTTCTTTTTTAGACGCAGATTTTTATTGGAATTAACACTGATTTATTCTTAATAAGTGAAACGTGCCCCGGTTAAAGAGTTTTCCTAGTTGGCGCGCTGCCAAACGCTTGCTGCTCGAGCTCCGCCGGCCTCACGACGCAATAGTGAATGAAGAAAAAATGTCTCAAAAAGACTTCGCCGAAAATTAATAAAAAAAGAAAAAGAAAAATGCCTGTACGAAAGGACAACGTTACGATGTTAGACACGGCGTTGCATGCCTGGAGAGCCGATGCCAAAGTCACTGGAGTTAGCGTCCGTTAAGTTCATCATAAAAAGTATTTCTGCGCTTGATGGCTAGATCGAAATATAACTGCAATTCTTTTAGGGAATAAAACCCTGACAAATGAAATGACAAAAAGAAACGTGCGCAAGCTTCACCGTGCGTGCTTTGCTGAATCATAATTACTTGTTCGAGTTCCCGAGAGTATCCTCACAATTTATGCCCCCTTCCTACTTTTCAAGTTGTGCGTAATGGTGACTTCGGGCTCCCCTCGTTCTTTCGTGCGGAAAAGTAACGCCACCGAAACCACGTAAATTCACAAAGAAAACAACAACAGCAACAAAAAACAAATCCAATTTTCTTCCTCGTAGCGCAATTACCATCCGCGGCAGCTATAATCTCTCTTAGCCGTCTGGTGTGATCTACCCCTCGAGGAAATGACCTCAAGATACATCCTCTAACAGAGATAAATCTGCGAGAATAATAGTCGCAGCAACTTCTGAGCAGCCCTTGGTCTGTGTATATCTGAGGGACATAAGGAACCTTTGGCGTCTTGGTTAGGGTAACCAAACGACGCCGTCACTTTTCGCTAACAACCCTTTCCCCCATCACTTTTTTTTTTTTACTTTTGATGCAGAGTTACATTGCATGTACACCGTACAAAAAAGACACGCTGGTCGGTGTAGATATGATGACAGAATATCACTCGCAAAGACCCCGAGCACGTTCGTAAGCACGTGTACGGTGTACGTCACGCATACGCGTGCTTCCAGCATGTCGGCAAGCAGTTTTATGTACTACCAACGAGACTGGACCGGTGTGCAAGGAAGAGACACGCCTCAGACAGTTTCTGCAGACTTGATGGATGGATAAATGATGTTGGCTATGCCCTTTGTAAAGGGTGGTAGCTTGCGCCACCTAGGAACTCTACTTGAAAGCATCGGGCCACACACCGCTCGTTCGGCCATCTATCGAAACTCGTTTTCTCTCCGGCTTCCGCAGTGCTCTCCGATTCTGTTGAAGCAAGTTGGGCGAGCGCACACATGATGGAAGCTGGAGTGGACGCTTTCCGCGGCAGTTCGGAAGAAGAGTGCGCGTGCCGCGGCTTTGACAGGCGCTCAAGATTCGCGAGCGCACGTACGCCCCTGTAGCTTTCACTGCGTAGCCGCAGAAATTGTAATTGTTGTAATTGTAATTTATTGGCACATGGGATAGGTGCGTACACGGCGACGTGAGAAGCTTTAGTCAGAGAGGTTACAGCCCTTAAGCATGTGCGCCTGCTAGCCGGCCGCCGTGTACACTGATTGGGTGAGAGAAGGAGAGGGGATTCACCGGGGACAAGGCAAACAAGATCAACAAAGCACGATGCTAGAACATCAGAGTTTATGAGGTGCCCTAAGACACCTGGCGGGAGAAGAGCCTGCATAGTTTTCGAGTCTCCTCGTTTGAGGTCGATAGAGGACCTCGAGCGGGCTAGGGGAATAGTTGCCCGCGAGCAACTTTGGCGCTGTTAGAAATGTAGCAGCTAAATTACGAGAGCGTAAGTTCGAGCTATAGAGTGTATAGTCAACTTGGGTCGCTTTCCCCGTGCAGGCCACTACTCCGTGCCGTTCTCCGTGGGTTACTGCATGTCGAAATGCGCCGCACGCTTCTTCGTGGACGGACTGCGCAAGGAGATGAAGAAGTTTGGCGTCAAGGTCATCTCCATTGAGCCCAACATGTACGCGTAAGTATCCCGCGACGTCCGCACGTAGCTTTATATGTGCGCTCATCGAGGCTATACAGGAAAAAACGTAATTCGCGATTGCTTCGCAGATTTCTCTTACTATTTCCTACTGGAGTCGATAAGGAGACAATCTGACGACATACACAGCATATGTTGGCATATATTTGCCTCTCCTGCTTTACGTGAAGAAAAGAGCTGTTCTGGATTTGTCAATAAAAAAAAAAAAGACTTCATAAAGACACAAAGGTACTCAAAAACGCTTAAGGTAAAAAAATATGGCTTTGAGATGTTGAGCAATGCCCTGTAACGCGTCGCCTGTGTAAACACAGGGAGTTCTCGAGAAACGAGAACCGTGCTTTTCGGCCGCGGTAAATAAATTGTGCGTCGCAGAGAACGTGACGCTAGCGGTTGGGATAGAACGCGAAAGTTCCAGAGCATGACGTTATCTAGATAGAAAGATAACTGAGAAAAATGAATTTCCTATGATCCGACCTCCACCTAAGCCTAAGTTCACGTCGTCAACCTACACCTAAGTGAAAACAGATCTCGCCATTGTGGACGCTTGAGGGATTTATGTCAGTGCAAAACACCTGTCAGCGAGAAATAGGATACTGTTTTCTTTTGTGCTCACAATATTTCTCCACTGAAATAGATGATCAAAGCGCCCAAATTGTCATTTCTTGTTTTGACAAAACTAGGCCTAGGTAAACGTCGGCTAATAGGAAAAATGTTGTGAAACATTCAATTTCTACCCCATCCGCTAGCGTCCCATTCTCACGAAGGTTTAGCTTCCTGCGATGCATTGTTTATTGGCCCGGGCAGACGAACACGGTTCTCTTTTCTGGGGAACTCCCTATACTTAAAGGAAACAACCACTGAACAACAATGATACACTGGTGTTAAATTTTAACGGAAACGAGCACATAAAGTATATGCTAACTTCACTGAAAAAATAGTTTTTTTTTATATAACTTATAGCTTATGAAGTTACCATTAAGTATATAATAAATTAAATTTTGCGTATTAAATTCTGGGGAGAAAGAATTAATTTTTTTCCTCGAAGTAAAATTTCTAAAAGGTCCGGTGTTTTTAACATTTTATTTGAGGGTTAGACCATTTTGGTGTTCGTATATTTTTAAATTCAGGATCAGCACAAAATGCGAGTATAAATTGTGTGGACAGTATAGTTTCCGCAGCTAAAATATGACGCCTAAAACAAACAAGCAGTCATTTTAAGTGAAATGTTATTTAGGTTATGGTGGTTTAATTATTCACACGGGTTGTCTAAAAAAATAATCTTCTCTTGGCCAAAAAAAAAAAAAATTACATCTCTAATATTGTTTAGCATGAACTTCTACAGATAACGTTTTCGGCAGAGAAGCTGAAATTAGGCTGCATCTGAAAATAAATACCAAGTATGAAAAGTATAGCTTCGTCCCACGGTCCTACTATAAGGTCGAAAGAAAACTTAAGACAACATTTTGAGGTGCCTACATTAAAACGTTAATTTTAGTTTTTAATTCAAGAATTTCTTCAGCTTCCATTTAAGAGTGGCTATAAACCAGCACACTGTTTACAAAGAACACCAGGCGTGGGCACTGCGCAAGCGCAGAAACTAGATCCCTTTAAAGACCGACGACCAGTTGGCGCTTTCCACTTTTCTCTCGCTTCCTCCTCTCCCCCGTTCCGCCCTGTGCACCTTTGTATGTTTCCTCCTCCCCCATGGTAAGGAGGATCTTCCGCCTTGCAGAATCTCGAATCTAATCGTTGGCCTTTAAGCCTAACCATCCACGCAGGCGCAGTACAGACACCAGCGCCACCGCAGTGACGTGACATCAAAAAGTTGAGTCGGTGTGTTAATTGTACGCTCTCATTCTTTTGTATGCGCGCCTTTCCTCTGGGCAGGACGAACCTGACGGCCGACAACATCCTGCTTCCGACGATGGACAAGCAGTGGCGCGACACCCCCGAAGACGTGCGCAGAGAGTACGGCGAGGCGTACTTCGAGAAGTGTAAGGAGTGCCTCCGGAAGGGCCTCGCCGACTCCAGGACCAACGTGGACGAGGTCATCGACGACCTGGAGCAGGCGGTGGTCGCCACGCAGCCCAAGTTCGCCTACCACCCGGACGGCTTCTGGAGGGGCCTCCAGTGGCGACTGTTGTACATCGCGCCCCCGGCCATGCAGGACTACGTCTTCAACTCCTTCTCTCAGCCCGCGGAGTTCATCGCCAACCGGAGCATTTGCAGGGGATAGTGCCTGCTCCTTCCGACGTCTATATTACAGGCTGAGTCGCTGACCTGTTGGTCGCCAAAGTGCCGCGAAATGAGAACGCGTTCACCGGAGTCACGTGGTCATACGACCGTCAGGTCACGTGTCCTCAGATAACGTGAGCACGTCACGGGACGTCAGGTCACGTGAACATTTCGTGGGGCGTCAGTATCAAGTGACGTCACTGCATCTACACTCTGTTTAGCGTTACGGTTGACCGCAGACGGCACTACGAGCCATCGAAGCCGATCCAATGCCCTGTGAGCCTCACGTGACTTTAGGGAGGTCACGTGATTTGTTCTAAGTGTTGGATTGGTTGATTTGGCTCATACACCTTCCGCTGCGGTCCATCGCAGGGTGAAACAACGGCTCGGCTCAAACCATGCCTTCTATCGTAATTTAATGGCGGACGTTTTCTGCGAAGATTGGGAGGGAAATGGCGGACGGAGAGGCCGAACACTTTACTAGGTTTACCTTACTAAGCTTGGCGACGCTTGCAGACGCTTGCAGGCGGTCGACGCTTTGGTCGACTCCTCGGCCATTGTATCGAAAACGCCGGCCGTAAACTACGCGACCGAGAACGAACACCGCAAAAAACGCTTTCAAATTTAGGCACAATAACCGCTACCCGCGACATCTTGAGGTCAAGTGGTTACGCGGCAACCATCAAAGGTCAAACGTTACCACGCGGTGATGTTACAGTCCTTGCCGGAATCATGCAGTCGAGCCAGAAAGCGAATACTCCGTTTAAAAACATCTGCGCACTTGTTGATAATATACAGGCGCGTTCGATTTATCCACATGCTCGCACCGGTGCGCTTCAGTGCACGTAAGTGATTGGATTTATACTGAAGCGCACACTTGTAGTAAACGTATGTACGTACACCGCCTTTAACCGGCCTTTAAAGGAGCTATTTCTCTACCTTCGACAAATACTACTTAGAATCACTCGCTAACGTTAATAACTGAATGAACTTGCCTTAGTTCTTCTTTCTAGGCAATGGCAATCGCCGAAAGATTTGAGAAATATGAGCATCGTTCATCCCCTCAACTTGGAGTCAGAACAAGCTGCCGCGTGCCGCCAACGTTAATCATAGCCACGCGCTGGGATTGGTAAAGTATAGAAAGCGTGCTGAGCTCGAGGCAATGTTAAAGTTCGGCTGTTCTCATCACCGCAGTTGTTGGACGCGAGCTTCTATCCGAGTGTCCGCCGAGGCATTGATTGTTACGAGCCGAAGTCGAGTGCTCACGCAATTCTCGTGTGCAATCCATGAGCCGCGCTTGACTGTCGCCAGGCGGGTGGTTTCAGTCCCACAATTACGTCACCAAGCTATGCGAAAGCAAGACTGAAAGAAATCGTCTCCGTTTGTCCTCGCGATTTCATCGCGACAACGCAGCTTCTGAATCAGTGGCCTTCTGTGCGAGTATACTTGGGCCAGGCTAAGACCAGTGCGCCTATGCAAAGTCATAAACATTCCAACCCGATATCGTTTCATAACGATATCGGGTTGGAATGTTAATGTTTTTTTTTGCGCCAGTGCGTGAAATGGTGCAAAAATAAAAAAAAAATAAAAAATCTGACGTACCTGTTAGTGACCTACTGATTGTATGCACCGTCGGAAGACAACGTAAACAAATATGAGGATTGATTCAGTTCAGACTGTTGTAGTGCTCACTTGTATTATACAACTTGGGAGGCTTCGTTGTGGTAACCAGTTCTTCCATGGAAACAAGGAGCAAGGAAAACGAACAGAGTTCGTGTTCGTGTATCTAAACAGTAGGGCACATTCTAATGCATCATTGGTGTCTTTAAGAAAAACCTTATGGAATAAGTTATTGACGTACTGGGTTTGCTACGCATTACATTCTATTAACGGACCAATATATGTAACGCATTGTGCATAAAATTAAAACATTATTCTACATATTGTCTGCAACGATGTAGCACAACTAATCGTTACAATGATTGTTAAAAAAAGAAATACAACGTCGGTTTTGTTGACGACGTTGTAAGCATCAGCTTCTTATGTTTTTATTTACACTGTGTGTAAGAAAATATGTGTGCATCCGCTTGGATATATGGGCATAAAGACAGATAGAAGTTACTGTTGATCGTCAGGAACTGTGAGGTTCGTGCGCAAGAAGCGATTCAATTAATAATTTGACATTGAAGCAATTATTCGAGTCACTTGCTGCGGCCGGAAGTGATTTCAGGCTTGCCTGACTCGTTGAGTGCATGTTTCGGGTATTTTTCTACTCCCTAGCGATTCTGTACATAGCATGTCGATGCCAATAAAACTGTTCAATAATCCGTCCGAGGAGTCATTGGTCTTACACTGCTAGTCTGGCTACTAGAATTCCTATCTTATCTGAGCGTACTGCATTTGTCACATGTTAATTGGGAAATCCTGGTGACTGGTGAAGGAATAGCTTGAAGACACAACATAAATCATGCCCTCCAAAAATTGCCGGTGTGCGCCGGAATTCTTGGAGGCCACCCACAAAGCTTGCCAATTCTGAACTTTAGAACATCTGCAGCGCTCGAATAAACCCCTTTAAAAAATGTGCGCCATCTGTAGTAGCTACGGCACCACCAACGTTGGGCGCCACTTATTAGAGTCCGCCATTGTTTGGGAACAAACTCTGAGCAAGTATTGGATTCGAGAGCTGGGTCAGCGCTCGGTGAGTACTCGGATCCAATCGCACGTTTCTTGCCCATCGATGGATGGATAGACGGATGATGTTGGGTATGCCCTTTGTAACGCGCGGTAGCTTGCGCCACCTAGCCTGAGAAAATGCTTTCCTCCCCACTGAAATACACAATTTCTTTACCTCCACACCCCTGCAACTATCACCGGGTCGGTGATAGTTTTTTTTTAATGTTTTTATTTACAGTGTGTGCAAGAGAAGATGTGTGCATCCGCTTCGATATATGGGCGTAAAGACAGATAGAAGTTACTCTTGATCGTCAGGAACTATGAGGTCCGAGCTTAAGAAGCGATTCAATTAATGATTTGACATTGAAGCAATTATTCGAGTGACCTGCTGCGACCGGAAGCGATTTCGGGCTTGCTTGTCTCGTTGAGAGCATGTTTCGGGTATTTTTCTACTCCCTAGCGATTCTGTACATAGTATGTTAATGCCAATAAAACTGGCCTTAGTTCGTCATGACGTTGTCCAGTCTTGCGGTCGCTTAGAACACCTAGCTATCCTTTGAATTCGCCGAAATGCGGCGCGAATGTTCAAATATGTCGGGTCTGGGACTGCTTTTGTTGTTAAGGGCGATCTTTGCTTAGTGGTGACTTTGAAGGCCGTGGTTACGGCCCTAATTGCTGGAGGATTTTGGCTTGTTAACATTGAGCTAAGAGTAACACGATAAACATCACAGTTGGTAATCTGATGCATTTTGTTCGTCCGTGGGATGACCGTGATGGGGAGAGGCAAGATGGGCAAGGTGGTCACTTCCCCATCTGTCAGGCTCTGAACTCCACACCATCTGTATTTTGTGTGACACATGCGAAGGTAAGATGGAGGACACTGTCTGTTTTAAGGAGTGGACGAATAAGGATTGGCGATTTGTTGTTGAGGTATCTTAAGCCTAGATCTTTCGTTACATCAATGAGCGCATTTCCCCTTTGCGTGATTGTGTCACTTTACCGGACAGGGTGGTTCGCACTCAAATTCCCGCACACATGATTGACCAAGGGCACATTTTTCTGACCTTTCTCCTTTTATTGAGATCCCAAGGTTGGTAAGGACGTATGTAGCTTGATATCATGTTTGCCCATTTTTATTGTTACGGCTGTATGCTTATCGTAAAAAAGTCTTCAAGTTGATAAGGTCATTTCCTTTTACTTGGGGTTATTCTGAACGAATATAAATGCCCTAGATTTTCCGTCAAGGTGCGGTGTCTTACCGTGATATTATACGCATAGGGATAATCGATGAGGTCTTGGTTGAACATGCGTTCCTTGAAGAGCATGAACATTTGGTTGAAGCTTTAGGAAGCAGCGACGAAGTTCGGCGAGTCGAGGTCGAAGAATATTAATATTCCACTGAATAATCGAGGGTAGAACCTTGATACGGCCTCGCGTGATCGGCGCGTGCAAAGCGGACCCCGCAGCGTTGCTCTGAGGCATCGCTCTGCTGAAAAGCGTTTATGTTTCCGACGATAGCTGGACTGGAGCACCATTCCTTGCAAAATTGTCTTCAACGTGCTTGGTGGCATTTGTGCAATGGCGCTCCGCAGTGCAGAGAAGATGAAGCATATTATGCTATCGGATGTGGCTGATTCCTGCGTTAGCTCCTCTGACACGCGCCGACCGGAAAGTAGATCACTGTTTGCAAGGGATTTGCTACGGTTGATCGAATGCCATTTCATCGAAGCACGTTTTAGAGAATGGGCACGTTTTATCGAAGCACGGTTTAGAGAAAGCAGAGCCTCAGTTTAGAGAAACGCCGTTCATCGAAAAGGAGACGCTTTTTAAAAAAAGGCTTTCCTACTTCTCGCGTGTATCACTGGTGCGCGTGTTAAGCCATGTCCCCTGCTGCGCTCCCGCCGCTTCGCGGCGGCAGTCTGCGACGGCTCATTACAAAAATGTTAACTCACCTGATTTACCCATGCACGCCACTTCGCGGCGGCCGAATTCGCTAAAAGGAGGCTCATCGCCATTTTCTCTAAACTGGGTTCTCTATAAAGGCATTCGATAAACGAGGGTCAATAAAACGGCGTTCGCTAAAACGAGCTTCTCTAAACCGAATGCCTCCGGCTTGCAAGGTTTCCTTTTGGTCTAGTCTGGGTCATTTGCTGTTGGCCATTCTTCGCATCTGACTTTCCTTACTTTTCTTTATCAGTGGATGCAGAACCCTTAGAAGGGATATGCACTGGCCTCGACGTAGCTCTTTTTTACGAGTCTTTCTTAGGTTGTTGTTTTCGTCCTGCTTGCACATGGAAATAATCTGCGTGGGTTGTTCCTTTGTGGAGTGCAGGATATTCATATTGTGCTTCAGTCAGTTCGCGTTGCGTCTCAGCAAGCTTTGGTACGTAAAATATATTTTTTTAAAGCGCTGCCAGGCGTACTTTGCAATTTGCATGAGAAGCAGGATGGTGCACCGAGGCATTTTGCACATTTTGTAGGAAGTGTGCCAGAGCATTCTTTGGTCGAGTGTGGTTCTCCACACCTCTTGCGTTGTTTTCCCCTTGCAGTACTTTGCAACCTGGCTGAGGGCCTGGCAGTTGAAACACCTTGGAGGTGCCTCATTGTACTCGGTTACCTTGTGCCGTGTGAAGCCGAGGTTCAACTTGTCCGGTCGTTCGGTGTTTGGACGTAATGTTAGTACAACCCGGTCGGCTGTTTGTGCAGGATCTCTTGCATTTTCGCATCGCTGGCAGAGCCCACGAGCGGCAATCATTCCGGTTGGTCCCAGGAATTTGTTGAGGTCAATATCGGTGGACTCCCTTTGAGGAGTCCGAAGTTTTAAAGGTGCTTTTGGGCAATGTTGCTTCTACTAAAATCCAACAAAGGGAGTACACTCCGAGAAGTCGATGCACAGTCGGTACTTCTGAGATACCAAGTAGAAGACCTCCACTCGCTGTAAAACGATGTTTCACGATGGGCGCGCCAGCCAGTGTTTCTACTACAGCAGAAAATTTCAGCGGGTTTTGTTGCTGCAACCGCTTGTCCTCCTGCCCGGGCGTTGGAAGGACTGGGACACATGTCGTGCTCTGTCGACGATGTTGCACTAAGGTGAACTCAGCGTCCCCTCCGGCTTCCGCCTCTTCCATTTTTTCGCAGTGGTCGGTCACAACTATGTCCTCATTATCAACGTCTCCCTTACGTCGTTTGGGAGCTTACTTGTGCTCCATTGTAGGGATGGTCAGTTTCGATAATATCCGAGGTTGGGGCTGGGGAATGTCTACAGGCATTGGACCATACCACGTCTACCCCTGCCTCGAAAGGCCAGGTTGACCTGAATGGACGTCTTAAATTATGCGTATTAGAAAATTCAACTAGTTAGATAGGGTTCTATCTCCTCCTACATTTCGCACTGCTCCTAAGTTCTGAAGACCGACTATAATGATTATGATGATAATAATTCTCGGCTATATCTTTGTATAGTGGTTTGGATGCGAGCGCCACCAAGCAGTAACAGTGGCAGTCTCTACTAACGTATGCAATATCTTAACGAGCGTAACCAGCGCGCGAAAAAAATCTTGGAGGCCATGCCTGGGTACGGCTTTAGGTACCCTAACCGCTCATTCACACTGGAAGCGGATCCGCGTTCGCAAAGCGGTTGCGAACGCGGTTGTATAAAGATCCAGTACAATTGCACGCGCACTCGATGACATCAAGTGCGCGTGCAATTGCACTGGATCTTTATACAACCGCGTTCGCAACCGCTTTGCGAACGCGGATCCGCTTCCAGTGTGAATGAACGGTAAGTTCTGCAGCGTGAGCAGTGAGCTGTCGCTCCACGTGCTTCGGCCGCAACCGACTCGCCCAACAACACATCTTGAGTAGAAGAAGAAGACAAAGGGACTCGGTGGGGACCCCTCAGAGGGGAAGCGGAAGCGCACCACGGGGGCGAGACGGCGGCGGTCGAGTTCCATCTTGCCGCAAGGACCGCGCATGGGGCATGTGTGAACCGCCGGTCCAGCAGCGGCCCCTCGCCGACGTCGCGGGCCAGTCCCGGCAGATCTTCAGCGTCCCCCGACGCGGGCGAGTCGTCCGGTCGGCCGGCGTAGTCGTCGGCCGACGCCGGGAGATGGCGTTTCCGGCGCACGTGCGTCGATGTCTCTGCTTCCTCACCGAGATCCTCTTCCTTGCGGGCCTCATCTGGCTCCTGCTGCTTTTTCTCGCCACGCTGCTGGGAGGCTCACAGGTGGGCCAGGGGATTTGTGGCGTCATTTATCGGAGGCCAGCGCGGAGCGTAGATTGGACCATGACCTACAGTTGAACAAGAGTGCTTCGTCATAAGTTGTCTTGGCGCTCGTCTCAACCAGTGAGGACACAAGTCGCAGCTGAATGCTGACACTACACTATACTTGGTCTTATCCTACGATGGACTAAAGGCAAAAGCTACCGACAGCCAGATCCAATCACGAGCCACTTAGAAATTGTGCAGTCTTTCGCTTCGATGCACGTATCGGTGCCCGCGTCTCGGATCACTGATTAGGGGACGGGTGGACAGTGGTTCGAATCGAAGAGCACTGAGTGACTCAATAATTTTACGTCGCAAAGAAAACCACGACTTATAGGCTCTTTGCAGCGTCGAAGTTATAGAAATGATGCGGCACTTTTGAATTCGAGCATTATTCGTCCACCGCTAATCAATGTTAAGCGTGTCATAGTATAGCGTGTAACGGGATTGAACCTGGCACCCGTGGCTTTGGCCTTTAGTCCATCGTGGGATAAGACGAAGTATATAGTGGTCCAAACTGCGTTCCGCGCTGGCCCACGGTAACTGACGTAGAGAAATCCAGCACCACGGCCTTGCTCATAATGTGCAAAACACGACGTCTCAAGCTCAGCTCTGCGACCTATCTAGGAGGTGTTGGAACAAGGATGAGTGGCCTCTAGATTCGATGTTAGCTCGGACATCCGTCGCTTCATCGGCTATGCTGGTGGTTTGTCTGCTGAACAAATTTTTGTTCGAGGTTACTCCTATAGGCCTTTGGTCCTTTTTGGGCTTAGCATACACCACAGTGCTGATACGTCAACGAATAAATTAGTAAAAAAAAAATAACCGTCGGTGCTGTGGAGGCGAACGCAGCACTCGCAGGTACGTTTACGCCATGCTTGCACGCAAACTATATATAACGTGCATGTGACGTCATTCGCGGCCATCCCAGTATTTTATGTGCCGCGAACGTCCGCTTCACCGTGTTAGTTTCACAGCGCAAAAGTTGAAGCTCGAAGGAACCAGTAAGTAGAAATAACCGTCAGTACCCAGCAACGGTGACTCTTGCTAGCTATGTATGGGACAGCTCTGGAGAGTTTACGGTCCCAAGAACACCCTTCTGAAGATAGAGGGCGTCGAGCAACTGCAAAAAAATACGATACCTTTTTCTCTTTTTGTCAGCTTTTTAGTGACCACCTTTAAAATTTCTTACCTGCTCATCTAAAAATACTTCAAAATGGTGGGAAGTCAAGACTATGGTAAGCTTGCAACGCAACAAAAAATATAGCCACTAACTCCGAGAAATTTTATGTGGTTTCAGCACTGCTCATTCTTACATCAAGTTGTGCCATGACCCAAAGGCGCCTGCCACACCTGCGAGGCGTGGCACGCGATTTTAAAAAACCGATAGGAAGAACTCTTAAACGCGTGGTCCTCAGCCCCGGCGATATGGCAATATTGCGTTCCTTCTGCGGCAGTCACTTAGGGTCTGTGGGAAGTGTGAACTGTCTATAAGGGGTCTGGCTGACGGTTACATTGACGCCATATCCGATACAGGCATACATAAAATGATAGGTCATGATGGAAGTCCCAACATCGGTGAGGACACGAATTCAAATCACGGAAAACATCGCGGCAGTGCTTTTCAGTCCTGGACTCGGGGTCAGTCAGCTAGATGGCAGACCAACAAGCGTCAGCATGACAGCGTTTGAACGCTTTTGTTCTGCGTGTCCCGTTTTAGTATCCCCGTCACGAGATATGTTGACGTATCAGCTGCACCCATTGGCTTGTTCGCTCCCCATTATTTCAGTTCGAACTGTCACCTTGGTGGATTGGGGTCGTTGATCAGTGTTTCTGATACAGACGACACGAAAGAGAATACACTTACAGGGACAGAGGTTTTTAGGTATTTCTGACTGAAGAGTTTTCAACATAGGTACCCCTCCAGACCGAGAGTTAGTACACTAAAATATATCTACTGTGTTGTTTCTATAGGGCGCCGCCGAGCGAGCCGGAGGCCTCATCATCGGCATGGCCTTCTTGCTGCCTGCACCGCTTCTCTTCATTTTCGACCTAGGACTCAGACGCTACTCACACGGCTCCAGACAGGTACTGTACGACCGAAGACTGTGGTGCGATGTACCTCAACATATCGAATACGGCACTTCGCATTCAGGCAGACAACGAGGTGTATGCCGTATTTTCCGGATGCATGTTTAAAAGGTGAAACTTTAGCCGGTGCGCACTATCCGCAGGCGCGATATTTACAAGATAATGTTTTTTTCTAGGTCGTCCGCTGTGATAAGACAAGAAAGGTGTTATGAATGACAGAGGATATTAATGTTGATTTGTGTGTAATACAAGATTCTTTGTGAGCTAATACAGCAGGTGTTTGTGAAGCTTATCACAATCATCTTTATTTGGACGCAGTAGGGTTGATGTGTACCGGAAAGTTTGGAAGCCCGTACCAGTTGGCCAAGTGCACCAAAATAAATCATGCAAGAAGGCAATAAATACAAAAATGAATAAGCAAATAAATAGCGCTATTCACAAATATTCTGTAATGCTTTATGATTACGGACAAAGGTGCAGTGCAGTAAGGCGACCATATACAAAAATAATGTACGGCTTAGCGACTATGTATACAAAAATGCTGCGCGACATGGTGACAGATCGTCCTTATTCTTGTGGGTCTTAGCGCAGCAGTCTCTTACGAAGCGTGGAAGGGAACGCAACCGCTGGACAGATGCGCAGAAGGAACTCAGCTTGTCGATGACTCAGGGTGCGTGCCAGAATATGGCACAGGTCGTCGTTTTGCACCCTATAAATCTGGGAGGTCAATGTGCGGGAAGTACCGGAATGATGAAGCGTCAGAAACAGACATGTAACCAGGACTTTGGTTCGGGAAAGGGGGGGGGGGGGGGGGGGGGGGGGACAATGAAGAAATGCTGTATGAGGGGGAGGGGAGAACCCCGCAAAATGGAAGATTTCGAAAAGAAAAAAAAAAAGCCCCCCCCCCCCTTCCCCCCCTGGATACGTGCCTGGTCAGCAAGAGAAGCCGGAAGGGTGCCGTATCATGCTGCAACGACAGGGGCAGCCAGCGGACTGTACGGAGTAGCTCTGAAGTTCGCCTATGGGGCGATGCGCAGGCTGCACGTATCCGGACACTCCGCAATCTTGCCAGGCAATTTTCCAGGTGTGTGAACCAGATTGAAGTACAGTATTGAAGCTGCGGTCGCTCGAGCTCAGCTTATATCATAGGCAGAGCGTCTGCTACGGCACCATGTGTGGCACGTTGTGAGTTGAGCTGCAGCACACGACGTGCACGAGCTATGACCGAATATAAATTTACGCAACGAGCTTGATCCGTTAGTTCACCTTACCTCCCGGGATGTTTGTTTGAGACACCCGTCTTAGTTAAAGCCCCTTGATCAAATTCGCCTCCCCGTTTCTTCCAAGTAGCGGCAACCATTGTTGTGCAAACGCGCGAAACATGTGCCTCGAGCGAGTTCTGCCGTGTGCCGCCATTTGGTTCTAAAGACCGCTCATTAAAGCCCCTCTATTTTGGGAAAATTGGCGCCATTTATTGTTGTGGAAATGCTCGAGACACGCGTGCGCGCCACTTCTGGGAATAACATGGCGTCTGAAATCTAGCTCAGTGCTGCGCTGTGCCGCCATGATCTTCCCAAGGGCTGCACGAGGTACGAACCTTGCATTTTGGCGCATTTGACGCTACTTGCAAGACAAACCCAAACATCAGGGGGCTTTAGTTTTAGTGGCTTTGAGATTTGCTGGCAGCCGGTCGCTGTGCTTGCGATGGCTGCTGGTGCATAGTAGTCCAGGTGTATGCTGCTTTTGTGCTGGTCTGGGGTACATACGTATGATATTTTCATGCGGTATTGGCTCATACCTTGTTCTTTTCCACCCCAACGAACGTAGGCGTTGCTCTGCAGACCACCTGACTCCAATGCCCCAGAATGTTTACCCGAGCTCCCCGCGCGACTCTTGTAGGTCGTACCGGAGACCTCGTCTTGGTCTTCCGGCGTCTTGTGGCCCGCTGCCCGTCGTAGCCGAAGGGCCCCCGACCCGAGCCCTAGGTCCAGTCCCGACGTGCTGCCCGAAGAGCCGGGCGCCTCGGCGATGCCCCAGTGGTGGGCCGAGCGTCCGCCCACGTACGACGAGGCCATGCGCATGCCCAAGCTGGAGGAACTGGGGCCCAGGGTGCACCAGAGCGGCAGGGGACACGTCATCTTCCACGTTGGTCACGACGTCCGATTCTCACGTCTCAAGAGCGATTCACACACTCGCTTCGAGTCCGACCGGGTGCAACTGCAACGGGTTGCTATGGCAACTGCTGCGTCGACTCCAACAAACCTGGTTTTACCCCGTCTTGTTGGAGCCGACGCAGTTGTTGCTATAGCGACCCGTACGCCGCAAGCCGTTGCCGTCGCACTCGGTCGTACTCACGCAAGTGTGTGAATCGCACTTTGCGAGTTCGTATCGTATGCATACCAGCTGTCTATGGGAACGTCAAGGCCCGCTCACACACTTGCAGCCGAGTAGGACCGACTGAGGCAAGACCTGCTTTAAAGCCTCTTGCGACGGCTTACAACTGGATGCGCTGCTACGGAGCTGGTCCTAAGCCGTCGCAAAGGGTGTAAAAATCGGTCTTGACTCAGTTGGTCCTACACGCTTGCAAGTGTGAGAACGGGCCTTTAAGAGCCGTTCACACACTTAAGACCGAGTAGGACGGAGTGAGACAAGACCGGGTTTTTAAACCTGTTGGGACTACGTAGGATCTGCTCCGCGGCAGCGCATCTGGTCCTACGCGGTCGCAAGAGGCTTAAAACAGGTCTTGTTTCAGTCGTTTCTACTCGGTTGCAAGTGTGTCAGCGGGCCTTCAGACTCTAAAGCCGGGATCACACTGTTTATACGCCATACAAAAGGCAGTCTACAGACAGATTCGAACGCAAGTCACTATGAGATGCGTGCTTTGAATGCCGCATGACAATGGGTTCAAAGAGAAACTTAGCACGCAGCATTCGAAACAATGATATTGCGGTGAGACGTGTCTGCCAGCTGTCTTTGCATATCATTTAATTTCATTTAATTTCCTTTCAATTTTATACCTTAAAGGCACTCGACTAGCGAGAGCCTTAGATGAGGGGGGAAATTGATAACATAAATATAGGTCAACTTCAAACCCTTAAAAAAAAAAAAAAAAAAACTTCGGGGTTTTACTGTTGGAAGGCAGTTGAAAAAACTCACCAGAGGATATAAAATGTCAACAGCTTTTCATATGACTTTCTCTAGCTTTCCTGTTTAGTATCTTTCGAATATTGGCCCACTTTTTAATAAAAATGCCGGCAGACTTTCTGTCACCTCCAAGAGGCTTTTTCTGGAGCTTTTCCATTGAAAAGCTACAGCTTTCAATCGAAAAGAGAAAAAAATGCTGACATTCATTCAACAAAGTTTTGGAGGCGTACTACGACTTTCCACTCAGCTCCAAATAATCTACCGCAAAAGAACGTAAAAAAAAAACAAAAAACAGACACGCGGATTACTTTTTATTTTCTTAAATTTTGCATTTTGTTAGGAAATGGTGCCCCTGTGGTATTTGAGCGCGCTACATACATTACACAAATACACATTAGAAACATACACAAACGAAAACATCATAAAGCAGTCAATACCTGAATCATTGTCCTTGCCTCAGAGCCTGATATAGCCTGCATCTTGAGGGTAATTATTTGGTCGGTGACCACCTCAGCACTTACTAAAGTACCAAGTACCCTATCTCCTTCTCGGGAGTCAGTCAGAGGAAAGACAGTGTTAAAAGTTCTTAGACTCTATCTCTTACTAAAAAACATTGGTACAACTAATATTACTTCGGCGCAATCGCTAAAACATAATGAAAAACGGCTCCTAGATTAAATGTCATCACTTTCCTGCATAGTACCACCCAGGACGAAGCGAGTCAAGCCAGTTGCCCCCTTTGAAATATTTATTTTGCATTTCTTTACCAGTTGACTAGTTTAAGAGGGTCAATAAAGTCACTATAGCCACTTACAAAGTGAGAACGGCAGGGCGTGTCTTCCGAACGCCTGGTCTCCAGCACGGGCCCCATGCCTTCCGTCGTGCTCCCTCTCACCTTGTCAGAGACTATTGAGAACCTTAGTGACTTTTGACATTTAGTCAAGATGTACTATGTTCAATACAAAGTCAACAGGAAGTCTGTAGCTTTTGTATTGACACTGGCCACAGAGTGTCAACTGAAAATTTTCAACCCGGGGCAAAAAAAAACGTCTGCAGTTTTTCTCATGATACTGTGAACAAAAAGTCAGCAGAAAAGTCAACGTAAAGTTAATAGAAAGTCAACGTCTTTTCTTTTTGACTCGGGTAGAATGATATCATCAGAAATGTTTTACAACAAAATCAACGAACTTTCTGTTCACCATGTCAACAGGAAGACAGAGTCAAAAGAAAGCAATAGGAGTCAAGAAGAAGTCAACACTTTTTCAATAGAAAGTTTTCGCGTACATACTATTTACATCATACAAACTCCTCATACATCATGTATGATGTGTGAGCAGCGTGACCCGGGCTTAAGAAACCGCGAGTTCGCTGATTCACAGCGTACGTGCAAAGCTAATGACTGATACGCAGATAGCTCACGTGTGACGCCGTTCGCGGCCATGCCGGTATTTCATGCACCGCGAGCGTTCGGTTTGCCGCGTTAGTTCCCCACCGCATAAGTTGTGTAGTACAAATGAACCAGAAAGTAGAACTAACAGTCAGTGTACCCATCAATGGCGACACTCGCAAGCTATGTATACCACTGTAAGAAATCTGTAGCGACTACACTCTCGCGAAATACTTAGGATAGCCAACCACTGCAATCTAAATAGGCAACTCGGCGAAAGACGGGGCTGATAATATGTTAGACCTAAAAAAAAATAGCCGGCGCTGTGGCACTGAATATTATATGTTTGATCGTAATGTTCAGCGGAGCTTCTTTTTTTTTTTTTAATCTAGTGATATTTTTAGCCTCGCTATTCACCGAGCTCCTCTCGTATATTACAGCGATATCTACAAATGACGTGTCAAAACGAAATACCGTAATGGCAAAAAAAAAATATATAAATAAAAAGAGATATCTTTGATATTATGCACTCGCCCTCCCACATAACCGAGGATAGCCGGCTCCTGTTCTCTCTCACCTCCACGAAATTTAATTTAATCCAATTGCCATTTTAAAGTGACCAAGTTTAAAATAAAGACAGATTTACAACAACAAAAAAAATTGAATTGTCCTGTTTGGAGTTTGTAGAGTTGGACGGATGTTTGTTTTTGGCATTAGGTATGATTTACTTCCAAAAAAGCAGATCCGAAACTTTGAGAAATGTTCTGGCATTAAGCAGTACACTATTCAAGTAAAAAAGAACTGACAGTTGTTTCAACTAAAAAAAAAAAAAGTAAAATGAACGTGCTATCTCTTTTGTTTCTTCCCGCAGGTGTGATCAAGTCCAAGACCGGGAACAGTCAAGAAACGAACAGCATCCGAAAATGACTGACTAGATTATTTTAATTATATTTTATAGACACGAGAAAACGAGTTGCAAGCCATTTCACGCGCAATACAAAACGTTTCATTTTGTCATATTTTAAGTTAATTACCTTAGAATCGCTAGGTTATTTATTAACACTTTTTTTATTAGATTATGCTATTGCATCGGAGCCGGCTCGGGGAACGACTTATCATGTTCACGCCCCTTGCCTCGTGATTGGTTGTTCGACTTTCTTATTGGTGAATCGGGCAATCTGATTGGCTGAGGAGATATAATAAGATGTTAGCGACGCCCCACCTTTCTTGGGCTCTGGACATGACTTTCGAAGGAAGCTATATCATATTTCAACACAATTTAAATGAAAACCCGTAGTTTATAAACTAGCGTGCAGGGCCTCGGGCGCTTTTAAAGGCTCCGGCACGTACACTGTCCCACGATGCCCATGAAGCACCACTCATAGATGTTCCTTAAATCGGTGTGGACAATGAGGACGGTCAGTCTCATGTGCGCCAATGATGCTGCAGTATCGATGGCCGAAAGTCGTCCCCTATGCGGAGAGGAAGTCGTCTGCTTCTTGCTGCAGGAGTTTCGAACGACGCTAAGCTCTGATTGGCTCTGATTGAAGGATAATGGGCAGACCTCAAAGCAAGCTGCCTTGAGGTCTACCTTCTATCCTTCATTCGGAACCAATGAAAGCTCGGCGTTGTTCTGACGTCACCACAAACCCCCGAAAAGAAGCAGACGAACTTTCGCTTACCAGAATGGAAAGTTGGGCGAGTTGGTATGAATTCATTTTGAAAAACAGCGCGAATACCACACGGACAAGAAGGAGGAACACACAGGACGAGGCGCTGACTATCAACTGTCTATTCAGAACACATACATAGAAATTCACGCGAGGTCGGCTTCTTCTTTTTTCTCTTCCAGTCATTCGCCATTAAGCACGCAACATATCAAATTAAAACACACGAGTACATTAAAACACACCAGCACAGGTATAAGTCATCGCGTCTTCCTCTTTTCTTCTTTCTTGGATCTTCAATCTTCAATTCTCAGGTCAACCCATGTCCAAAATTTTTTTTTTAGACATCCAAATTGACGTGAAAGAAGATCACGTATGTTGGATGCACCACCCCAGATCCACGAAGAAACTACTAGATTATCGTTCAGCACACTCAAAGCTCGTAAAAAACGGTATTACGTATTCCTGCTTACAGTCAGCGTTGACAAAAACCTGTTTTCATAAGATGAAAGAAAGCTTCTCAGTACAGGTCGCTAGACTCAGAGAATCTAATTATCCCGACTCAATTATTACTTCAGCCTGCGATAAGGTGACTCGGTATATCAAGAATGATTCCAGTAAACTTGAAAAAGAAAAAGCCAAGATAGACAAAAAGAATGTCGCCGTTATACCTTACATCCATCGTCTTTCACACGGGTTAAAGGGAGTCGGTTCGAGGTATGGGGTCAATGTAATTTTTTCAGCGCGTAACAAACTGAGCAGAATTATAAACGTGGTTAACAAGCGTGCTGACAGGAAAAGTAAGCCAGAACTGTTTGGATGTCGCGTCAAGCATGGCATGAAGTTCGTGTCCTGTGCACAGGGGACCGTATATGAAATACCGTTCTCATGCGGTCACTCATATATAGGTCAGACGGGTCGTTGCCTCAACATTCGTCTACGCGAAC